CAGAAAACACAGAGATGTGGCTCAGAACCAGAGCTCAGCTCCTGGAGGTTTTCCAGCAGAATTCATCTGTAGCTGAACTGTGTCCTAAAGTCTGTTTCCTGCTACAGCAAACAGAGAAATCCTGCATTACGCTGCATGTTCGACAGGAAAAAAGGTCTAAAAAATGTGAATTAGGTATCAGAACATGTTTGCTTATTTTGCTTTTTTTCATTTTATCTTATTCTTCCTATGTTCCAAAGAAAAAGAAACGATTTAGATAGCATTGCCTTGTGGAATTTCTGATTTATTACATTAAGTTTTGAACCTAAACAAGTAGATTTGAGGTCTAGATAAAAAAGCGGCAATTTCAAAAAGAAAAAAAACATCTTTCCTAATGTGTTTGGACATTTGTTTCCCCTATAAGACCCACTTTGGCTTAAAATGAGCTACTTTCTCACTTTTTTTTTAAATGTCACCAACTAAAACATGTATGTCAGTTTAAGCTGCTGATTTAGTTTTCACTGGCATTTCAGTGTGTTAAAATAGTGCATGTGCAGTATTAGATGCACGTGAGTCATCAAAGGAGGTTTGTACTTTATTTTTTTAAAGGAGAGTTTTGGGGAAAGCCAAAGAAGTGGAGATAAGAGAAGCTCTGACCACTGAGGCCCAGAATGGAAGCAGAGGCTGGAACAGAGTGGAGCCGCTCATTTCATGGCTGTTCCCCGGGCCTCCTGACCGGGGAACTGTGCACGTGTGTGCACGTGTGTGCAGGTGTGTGTGCACGTGTGTGCACGTGTGTGTGTGCACGTGTGTGTGCGCGTGTGTGTGCACGTGTGTGTGTGCACGTGTGTGCACGTGTGTGGAGGGGAAAAGGCCGGAGGGGGAAGAACTCTCTGTGGGTCAGGAGTTGCTTCAGGTCCCGTCCTCACCTGGTCGGTGTGGGGAAAACGGGTGGATCAGCCAGTAACGGTGGTCCAGTCCTCCCGTTACCATGGCAACGCCTGTAACCATGGCAACGCCTGTAACCAGGGCAACGCCTGTAACCAGTCACACCTGTAACCAGTCACACCTGTTACCATGGCAACGCCTGTAACCAGGGCAACGCCTGTAACCAGTCACACCTGTAACCAGTCATACCTGTTACCAGTCACACCTGTAACCAGGGCAACGCCTGTAACCAGGGCAACGCCTGTAACCAGTCACACCTGTAACCAGTCATACCTGTTACCAGTCATACCTGTTACCAGTCATACCTGTAACCAGTCACACCTGTAACCAGTCACACCTGTAACCAGTCACACCTGTAACCAGTCACACCTGTAACCAGTCATACCTGTAACCAGTCTCACCTGTAACCAGTCACACCTGTAACCAGTCA